GGCAGTGGAGGCGGCACTGCGGGAGGAAAAGAGCGCCCTACCAGGACCCTGGAGCGGTTTGTATGCCCGGTTGTGTGTGCGGAACGGAGTGGTACGGGAGTTAACCGAGGCCGGCCAGCCGGGGGGCATCTGTGTTCCTGCCCAGGTGCGACCCCAGCTGCTACGGCTGGTGCATGACCACCCACTCGGGGGCCATGATGGGGAACGGCGCACCCGGGAGACCCTGCGTCGCCAGTATCTCTGGCCCAAATTGGCACAAGATGTGGCCGCCTGGGTGCAGGGCTGCCGGGCCTGTCAGCAGTGTGGGCAAAAGCCGGCGAGGTACCAGGTACCCCTGAGGCCGTTCCGAGTCAGTCGGACGAATCAGTTGGTCGGAATCGACCTGCAGGGGCCCTTTCCACGATCCCACCGGGGCAACCGATATATTCTCGTAGCGGTGGAATACTTCACCCGCTACCCCGTGGCGGTGGCTATCCCAGATAAAACAGCCCTTGTAGTGGCCCGGGCCTTCGTGGAAAACTATGTACTTAAGTGCGGGATCCCCGAACGAGTCATTACCGACCAGGGTAGTGAATTCGAGGCCGAATTATTTCAGGCGCTGTGCCGAGAGTTCGGGATCCAGAAGGACCGAACCACGGCGTATCACCCCCAGGCGAACGGGATGGTAGAGAGGATGAACCAGACTCTGGCCGGGAAGCTTAAACGCATGGCGGCCGCGAATCAACAGGACTGGGACGAACACCTTCCCTATGCCCTGTTCGCCTACACCACCGCCGTTCACACCTCTACAGGACAGACCCCGTTCCTAATGATGTTTGGTCGCGAGTCTCGCCTGCCCGCAGATCTGCTGTTCGGTGTTCCTCCGCCGCAACGGGAGGAAGGGAGCCACCCCGTGGAGCACTTGCTGGAGACCCTGCGAGGGGCCAGGGGCCGAGCCTGCCCGCACGGAGAGGCCGCGCACCAGCGGCAAGAGCAGGGCGCCCGACCCCGTATGGAGCCCCCCTTCTACACTGCGGGCTCCGAGGTGTGGCTGTACACTCCCCGCGTCGGTGCCGGACAGGTGGGGAAGCTGACCACCTACTGGCGAGGACCCTGGATTGTGAGACGGCAGATCTCACCATGGACGGTGCTGATTCAGGGAGGAGAGAGGGGCCGGGAGATGGTGGTCAACATCCGCCGACTGAAGCCGTGGCGAGCAGCCCCCGAGGGGGGGAGCCCCGCCGTCCAAGTACCCCGAAACCCCGGGGTCCCCCCACCCCCCGTGCCCGGGGGCCTCGCGCAGTACATGGGCCCCACGGAGCCCCGGGCTCCGAGGGGCCCCGGGCGGGGCCGGGGGCGACGAGGACGGCGACCCTTAAACCCCACCGCCTCTGAGTTTGTTCCCCAGCCCGCAGGTGCCAGAGGCCGAGGGGAGCCGTTGGAATGGAGGAGGAGACCACCGCCGGAGCCCCAGGAGACGGAGCCGCCACCCCCGAGGCCAGCCACAAGGGCCGGGCGAATCCCGCGGACCCTGCGGCGATACCTCGTGGGGGCAACCCAGGCGAGGTGCTCCAGTCAACCCGGGACGGGGACTGGCACCCCGGGGGGCTATGTGGTGCCACAACGACGGGGCCGCTCTGCCGAACCAGGGAGCCGCCCGGCTTCCCCCACCGCACTGCCCCCCATCACCCGCCCCACATAAGCACACACCCGCACGCATTCCCCCCCCCCCCATAGAGCTGGAAGGGAAGGTCACCTGATCGACCGGTTTTTATCCGAGAGACCCTTATCGGGATTAATTCTCACGGTTTCCGGCGATCAGGGAATTGGATGACCTCCCCGTGCTACGTGGCACCGCGGCGCTGCGGCCGGCCTTAATATGGTAGGTCGTGGCGTGGGGCATTCGGCCACCGCGGTTGAGGCGCATTTCCCCCCACACACACTCCCACGGGTCGACGGGGCGAGCAGGGGAGGCACGGGACAGCATGAATAGCGGGGTCACAGGGGCTGTTGCGCATAGTCATGGAGGGTTGGGATAATTGCGCTTGAGCGCGCAAGCCCCATTGGTAGGAAGGGTAAGGGAGTAATTAGGATTTACGCCTTGCACGCAGCACACTGATTAGCATATCAACAGCGCCTGGGGACTGCCGTGCGCGGGCTTGGGGTGCACGAGCCCATTGTTCAGCGCAGCATCCCCTTTGGGAGGTAGGGAGGATAAATAGAGGAGCGCAGAGGGGAAATCGCTCTCTTACTCCAGCGCCAGGCGACCAGACGCAGCTCGAGCCAGCGACCCGGACGTCCGTGCGACGCACCGAGGCACGCGGTTAACACAAGGATCAGCGGACCGCCGTGGACACTTAACAGTGAGTAAGAAGGGGAATTAGAATCATAGCCGATAAATAGGGAATAGGTGCCGGTTTAGTGGAATAGGCCAGCCTCGTCGACTCACTAATTCAACATTAGTTATCAGGTAATAAATCATTAATAGCGAAGCGTGGTCTCGCGTGATCTTGTCGTGCAGTGTGAGCGTGTGGGAACGCGTGTGGTACTGTGTGTGCGTAAGCTCGCAGCGTGCGTAATCGGCGTCCCCCAGGTGCGCGATCATAGCGTAATCGGCTGCGCATTGTTGTACGGTTTATCTCGCGCGCACGGCGGCGGCGACTTTAGTCGTTGTGTCGGCGTGTGCCCCGCTTGCGTGTGCTCGTTACGTGTTATAAGTGTGAACGCGTGTAGTACGGTGTAGGCGTAAGCTCTCGTCGTGCGAAATCGGCGTACCCCAGGTGCGCGATTGTAACGTGAGCGGCCAGCGCGGCGCAGAGAAGCGCAAGAGTGAGTGCCGTACGGAGCTGTGTGTGTGGGTGTGCGCGTACGTAATTAACCATGCCTGCTACGCGGACCCGCGGTGGAGTGGAATCCTCGGGCGACGGCTCCCACCCCATGGGTGAGGAACTTAGCAGCGGTTCGCTTAGCAGCGGGGGGGCGATTGATGATGCTAGCCCGGCCGTTAACATTATCGAGGGAGGGATCTCGGGGGCTAGCGACCCCCACAAAACACAACACCTAAAAACATAATTTGATTGAATGCGCAAAAATAAGCTATTTGAAATAATGATGCGATTATCCGGAGTTTCGGAAAAGCCAGCTCCCGCTGCCCATACCTGTGAACCCCTTATCAGTGCCCTACCTTATTACAGACCAATTTAGACCTTATTGATCAGCCCGTGCTCTTATAAATCTTAACGTTCATCCTACAAAGTCCCATCACAAGGGAGAAACACATAGAAAAAACAATTGTTTCTTTTTCTCACCCGTATTGAAACGGCTGTAGGCCGTATGGACCTGAAAACTCAATTTCCCTGTAGAAGAATACGGGTAAACAGTATGGATTGACAGGTATGCCTCCCCCCGAAGCCGCCAGATAATCTACTGTCATGTTTTTGTACTGTGGACAGGTCGCTTTTGAAAAATAATACCTCCAGTGGACTTTGTCAAGTCGGATAGAGATGGTTTCATTTTATTTGTATGTGTTTGAGTTATTTGTTTAACTTTCTTGTACTCTGCACTTTTATCATGTTTTGTATTGTTTGTTATTCTGATATTCGATGATCAACCATACATTTGACAGTTACTTGACGATGTGACTGCCACGTGCCGCCCTGACAAAATGGCCACGAGTGGCGATCACCAATGGCGAAAGAGCAAACGGACGCTTCCGATTGGTTGGGGCAACCTCGCAGCGACGCGAGATCTGATTGGTCGCGGTGCGTGCCTGCAACGACCCCACCGTCAAGGGCGTTTGACAGCTGTCAGTCGTGCGCATGCGCATAGACGGGTGTTATTGGGGGGAGAGAGGGGGGGGGCAACTTGTAGCGGGTGGATTGGTTGAAACTCCCACGTGATCGCGACGTCACAGGATGCGCGGCCATATTACTAAGGGGAATTAAATCATGGGGGGGGGTGCAACGCATGCAAAATGCGAGTCGGTATAGATTTGAAGTTTGTATGAAGCGTTCCACAGCGCTTTATCAACCGGCTCGGTGGGCCGTGCTACGATAACAACGCCCCGGCCACTACTGCCAACGCTGTTACCGTGTCTAAGCCACATACGTTTTCAGCCCGTGTTTCTTGTACGGGGAAATTTTAGTCTTCAGGTCCACGCGGAGTACAGCCGTTTCAATACGGGCAAAAAATAACAATACAGCATCAACATGCAATATCACAGACAGTAAGTAGCATGGTTGACACCAATTAATACGTTAACAAGTTTTTATTTCGTCACGTAATTTTTTTTATCAATTTGTGTTTCTCTTTTGGGGCCGTCCATAAATGACGTCACGCGATTTTGGACGATTTTTGACCCCCCCCCCCCTCGTCACACGGCGTCTCAAAAAGTCATACCCCCCCCCCTCAAATATGACGTCACAAAGCTCTGCCCCCCCCCCCCCCCAAAAAATACATGCTTCAAATCGCTTTAAACTATTGTCATTGTAGTGCGTATTTAATGTGGCGCTGCACTCTGATGTTGAAGGAGAAAACATTTATTAAAGAGTATATTTCATTAAGAAGAAAGTGTTGTCTATATTGATTTAAATTTTTACGTGACGTCACATTTCTCCCCCCCCTCGTCACACATCGTCACAAATGTCTGACCCCCCCCCCCCTAGGTGCGTGACGTCATTTATGGACGGCCCCCAGATACATAGAGACCCACAGATACATATAGAGTTATAGACCCATGGAGATACATAGACATACATAGACAACCATAGTGATACATGAATATTGCATACCGTGTCAACCCATATGGTTAACCCCGTATTCTTGAACAGTGAAATTGAGTTTGCAGGTAGGGGGCATCGATAATGGGTTGTTTAACAGGGCTGCTTATTTATTTATCTATGGGGGGGGAGGGGGGTGTGAGGGGGGGGGGTCTTTTTTAAAGTGAACCCCGTAGTAAGATGGCCGCCGGCGTGTTGCGGGTGACATGACGTCACGCCGCCCAGCCCCCCACCCCAGTCGGCGTCGTCCCCCGCTTGGCCATGCTGCTGATGCTGCTGCTCAGGACCTCGCTGAGGACGAGTCGCGGCCTCTCGCCGCTCGCCTCCTCCTCCACCTCCTCCACCATCACCACCACCTCCACCTCCTCCTTGCCGGGGCTCGGCGCCGTGCGGAGAATGGTGAGCGGGCGGTTGGAGGTGCGGCGGCGGTAGAGGGAGCGACAGCGCCACGGAGGCCACTCACCCCCCTCGTCCCCCTCGCCCCTGCGGGTCGTTATATTTAGAGACTCCGCGCGGAGAGGTCGCGGAGACATCGGGGGGAGCTGGGGGGGGGGGGCTGAGGGGGGGGGGGAAGGTGAGGGGAAGCTTGGGGGGGGGGCTGAGGGGGGAGCTGGGGGGGGGAAGCTTGAAGCTTGGGAGGGGAGCTGGGGGGGGCTGAGGGGCGGGGGCTGGGGGCGAGCTGAGGGGGGAGCTTGGGGAGGGGAGCTGGGGGGAGGGGGCTGAGGGGGGGGGAGCTGAGGGGGGGGAGCTGAGGGGGGGGAGGTGAGGGGGGTTAGGGGGGGAGCTGAGGGGGGGAGCTGAGGGGGAGAGCTGAGGGGGGGGGGTGAGGGGGGGGGGTGAGTGAGGGGGGGGGGTGAGGGGGGGGGGTGGGGGGGGTGAGTGAGGGGGGGGGTGAGGGGGGGGGTGAGGGGGGGGGTGAGGGGGGGGGTGAGGGGGGGGGTGAGGGGGGGGTGAGGGGGGGGGGGTGAGGGGGGGGGGTGAGGGGGGGGGGTGAGGGGGGGAGCCAACACTTTCGGCACAATAAAAATGTTCCCGTTTGCCATGTAAAGTGGTGGCACTCATTTAAATGAGTTGTCCAGAACCATTCACAGTGTCCCTAACATCTAAATGTGATTATCTTTCGTTGTTTCTTGGCCTGCCTTTTGTCAGTCACCAGCGTTTCTCTCTCTTTGGCACAAGTATGTACGTTTGTATGTATGTTGAACTTTGATTTAAAGCTTTCGTGACTGCAGGGATTCATATTCTTGGTTATTTCGGTAAAGTCACGTAGAAGGAAAATAATAAAATAATATTAATATAAAACAATAAAAAATTCTCACGACGTTTCGACTGCAACACAAGCAATCATCATCAGGTGTGAAATCCACAGAAAGAAAATTTCTGTGACCTGTGGATTTCTGTGGATTTCACACCTGATGATGAGTGCTTGTGTGCAGTCGAAATGTGAGAATTTTTTATTGTTTTATATTTATATTATTTTATTATTTCCCTTCTACGTGACTTTACCGAAAGAACCAAGAATATGTTGAACGTCTTTCGCGCCGTACGTAGCCAAAAGAACAACAAACGAAACACAAAAAAGCAGTTCTAAACGAACGAGTGTTCAAACTAGATTTTTCTTTGAAAATCGAAGTGCAACTTGCATCACACCAGCTGGTGATGATGACGGCTCACGACAACCGATACTTGGCTGATGGTCCCACACCCCCTCCAGTCCCCCTCCCCCACGGCCAGGCGACCTCCGGTCACCGCATCGAGTCGGACACGTTCGGCGAGCTGCAGGTCCCCAGCGACCGCTACTACGGAGCCCAGACCGTGCGCTCCGTCATGAACTTCAAGATCGGTGGCCCCAGCGAGCGCATGCCGGTGAGTCGCCGTGCCGGCCGGCAGCCGGTGTGGCCATCAGCCCCGGTGCGAACTGGGTGGTGTCATAGGTCCCCCGGTGTATCGGGGAGTTTTTAGGGGGCCGGTGAATTGGTGAGCTTAAAGAGGTCGTTGCGCTGGTGAGACCGTGAAGTGGTGAATGGGTGAGTTCATGGGACAGTGAATTCCTGAGCCCTGGGTCTGGTGAACATGTGAGGCCACGGGCTGGTGAGGCCGTTAGCCAGTAACACATTCCTGCGGAGGGAGCTAATAGGAACGTTGGGTTGCTCGGTCAATGGCCACGGTGAACGGCGGCGTGGTGTATTCCGCAAATATGCCCGACTGTGAGGGCGGGCACAAGCCGGTGTGAGTAGGTTAAACGTTGAGTTTTATAAGGGCACCACGGGGTGACCAGCCCCTCCCCACCCAGCCCCACCCCTCCCACCCCCCCACCCAGCCCCACCCTCCTCACCCAGCCCCTCCCCACCCAGCCCCTCCCCCACCCTCCCCACCCAGCCCCTCCCTCCCCACCCAGCCCCTCCCTGCACGACGGACACAATAATCCCCTGTGGGCTGGTGTAACCAGGAGGTTCCTACCAGTATAATAATAAGCATGTTCGTAATCCAGAAAAGTTTCACTGAGTCTCAACTTTCTTTTTTCGAGTCCTTTCTTGGGTTGTTTGGCCAATTTCATCAGTGTTTGGCTAACCCTGAGCCCATGGGATTGTGATACGATGACCTTGTGGTCTGTGATGTGGCTCAAATTCCATCACAAGTTATCCATTGGTCTTAAACTAAGACAAATTGTAGAGTTGAACCTTATGGCGGGACCCCGGGGTCCCGAATAAACGGAAGTAAAAATCGTAATAAATGTATTCATTTTTGGCGACTCCGTCCCACCGCGCACATAAACGCCGCGACCCGCCTGGCGCGGAGCATTCTGTTGTCGTGTCGTCCAAGCGCAGCAGCGAGGACGAATGTCGGTCATCAACAAAACTTTTTCACTTTGATTAGCGCATCGTGTAGAGCTCGTTGAGAGGAATAGATTGCCAGTGTTGTTCGCCTTCAACAGACGTAAAATGACGTCGCAAACCCAATTTATGCGAGAGCCGGGGGCTTATGGGACCCCCCGGGGTTCCGCCATAAGGTTCAGTTGTCAAGTGCCACAAATTCAACATGACGTATTTTTTCCCAAAAGGGCATTTCTATTTAACGTCGGGTATATGCTGCTCTGTATGGATATAACATCGAGCGGTCTCAGATAATTTTATTATTAAATTTAAAACATGTTTTGTATTGGCTGTACCGATTGAAATTGTGCTTTTCCATGAGACTGATACAGTTTCATTGTGGTGTGTCTCAGCGAAGCAGTGCATCAGTCTGTGTCGGATAATGGCACGGGAAGATGATATCAGGAACCTAATTCCAAGGTCATCCTTATCCCCATGAGGGGTTACACCGTTTGTTGCCCTCCAGAGCTTTCCGTCACATCTCAATTTAAACCTGAAACGTTGAATTCTGGAATTTATACAAATTAACAATAACATCAAATTTAATCTGATGTGGTTTTTTTTTTGGTACATTAATTGGTGACTGGACTGAGACCATACACCTTCCTAAATTTGAGAAGCTGGTTTAATCACTGTTGACTTAAACCCGTAGTATCTGAACCATAGCTGTTAGTGGTGCCAGCTCGATTCTCTGACCACTTGGCCAGCCACCCACCTCAAAAGCTAAACGCCGCTATTTAAGCTCAAGTTAAACAGCGTGTTTAGCTTTTGCTGCAATAACTTTCCACTCCACATCGTCATCACCGTTGTGGTCTTTATTGTCACTGTTGTTTTTGTTGTCCTTGTGTCCATTGCCGTCCTTGCCATTATCTATCGTTGTTGTCGTTGTTGTTAACGTGGCTATCTTTGTTGTTGTCATTATTATTGTTGTGGCTGTTGTTGTCGTCGTCGTTGACATGGCTATTGTTGTTGTGCTCGTGTGGCAGATCCCCGTGATCCATGCGTTTGGAATCCTGAAGCGCGCGGCCGCCGAGGTCAACAAGGACTACGGCCTGGACCCCAAGATCGCCGACGCCATTATCCAGGCGGCTGACGAGGTCTTGTTTGAGTGCCTGGAAGCAAAAATCGCTAAAACTAAACGAAATTAAAGCGAAGGTTTTTTTAACATCGTGCAGCAGCGCTATTAATTTTGAGTGTATTACGAGTGGTAGTAGCAACATAACAATGCTCCTGGATTGCTTGTTGTACATGCGTGTCTGTGTGTGTTCACGTGTGCACCTGTGTGTGCACCTGTGTGTTGTGCTGTGGATGTGTGTGTGGAGTGGTGGTGCATTGGTTAGTGAGCCTCGATACGAACTCGGTCACCCGAGTTCCATTTCCGCTTATGGTCAACATCAGTGACGAATATCTGAACTGGCCCCAGGGCCTCCCCTAGGTTGACTCAACCTTAAAGGAATACCTGTATAAACATCAGCACTCGGGAGACAAAGGTGGCTGGGCGTGGTTCTGGCCACACCACTCGTTCGTGTGCCGTTCCGGCCTTCATAGGTGCTCTCTAAACAGCACTTGCCTGTGTTAAGGCTACACGGGGGGGAAACCTTTCAGTCCGTTGCGCTTGCGCCGGGTCACAGGTGACGAGCGGCAAGCTGGACGACCACTTCCCGCTGGTGGTCTGGCAGACGGGCTCCGGCACGCAGACCAACATGAACGTGAACGAGGTGATCAGCAACCGCGCCATCGAGATCATGGGCGGGCAGCTCGGCAGCAAGACGCCCGTGCACCCCAACGACCACGTCAACAAGAGCCAGGTGCGGCCATCGCCGCTCCCCGCGCCCCCTCGCATCGCTCGCCGTGGCGTCTTCAAGATCCGCCTCTGGATAAAAAAAAAACTATCAACTATTTTTTATTTTACCGCCTCCTCGCCGCTCCTCCCGCGGCGGTTTCTCTGGCGCGTGACCAGAGGAGGAGGGGGTACTCTTCAAACTAAACTATAACATTTATTACAACTTTTTAGTTATTTTACCAGGTAAGTCCCAACTGAAGCAATACGGATCTTTTTCAGAGACGAACTGGCCATCACAAATGATAGCCCAACGAAGTGGCTTATCGCGTGGAATTTTATAGCAGCCAAATAATCTGAACGCACGTTGATTCTAAATATGGAGGGAAAAACCAGAGGACCCGTAGAAAAATCCACACGATCCACGCGGAGAATATGCAAACTCCAAATATACAGGCGTCAGGAATCCACGACCGCCTGTATACTAGGTGAGGTAGTTAACATCTCACCACCATTAAGCGGTGGTGGCTCTGTGCACATGGCTGCCTGTAATCCGGCACTGTGGAGGCAGCGAGAGTTGGTGGATCGCTGCACAGATGTTGTGAAACTCCCTTCCCGTGGGCATCGAGGAAGTGCCATAGCCTGGCTCGCCTCAAGGAGGAGGAACAGTAAGTGGATTATTTGCCATCTGCTTCCATCTGTACGGGGATAGAGTGTTGCCCCCCTCGTGCGTGTGAGTTTTCTCCGGGCCTTCTGGTTTCCTCCCACGTGTATAAAACAAACACAGTCAATGCAGCACCCTCGTGAAAACAAGTGCCACGAATTAGCATGGCTCTGCTGGATGGATAAATAAATAAATTGGGCAGCGTTAACGATGACCAAGTGATCTCTTCCCACCTTCTGCTGTCCACCACTCCCTACTACCCCGCCACCCCGGCCACGCAGAGCTCCAACGACACGTTCCCGACGGCGATGCACATCGCGGTCGTGCGCGAAGTGAGCGGCGTGCTGCTGCCCGGCCTGCAGACGCTGCACGACGCGCTCGACGCCAAGGCGCGCGAGTTCCACAACATCGTCAAGATCGGGCGCACGCACACGCAGGACGCCGTGCCGCTCACGCTCGGACAGGTGACGACTCGCACCCGCTCGCGATGCCTGCGCTGCCCACGCTGCTCATGATGTCCACGCTCCCCAAACCGATTGATACTCGTCCGTTTGAAGGATGCGCGTGGGTTATGCAAAACTTGTGACCGGTTCAGATGTCGCTTGAGCCCAGGTGGCACGGGGTTTGTGGCACGGCGGAGTTGCTGTTGTGATTCGCGCAATTCTGTCACCCCAGCGCCACATGGATGGACGCAGGTGCTGGTAGTGATGTTGGTTGTGGTGGTGGTGCCGGTATTGATGATTGTGCCACTGGTGGGGTTGATGATGGTAGTGTTGGTATTGATGGTGGTGGCGGTGGTAATGGTGGTGGTGTTGATGCTGGCATTGATGATGGTTGTGCTGGTAGTGAAGGTGGTAGGGTTGTTTGTTGTGGTCTGGGTGTTTATGATTATAGTGTGTGTTGTGGTTATGGGGATTGTTGTGGTGGTTGTTGCGGACAGTGGTGGTGGTGTTGATGGTGGAGCTGATGATGTTGTGGTGGAGGTGTTTAAGATGATAGTGTTTCTTAAGGTGGTGGGGATCTTTGTGGTGGTCGCGCTGGAAGTATCGGCGGTGGTGTTTATGCCGGTGGCGGTGCAGGAGTTCAGTGGCTACGTGCAGCAGCTGCACTACGGGATGGAGCGCATGCGCTCGGCG